GAACAAATATTAAAGTGCACAGTCAGTGGAGTGATTAACCTTTTTTTCAATATGGGGGTGTATTCCCTGGTCTTTGCAGGTCAAGCATCCACTATGACCAGGAATGACCAAATAACACTGTCCTGTTATTTGCATGTGAAGAATCATTAAACAACGAAGGTGGGAATTGATTATGGCATAAAGTTGCACAAAGGACTACAAGTGATTGGGTTACACTACACTGTTCACAGTTGGTTATTTGTGACTCTTGTTTGAACACTTTTGGTGCTGTCAAGAAGGTTAAAAGTTTCAAATTGAAAAATTCAAGTATGGTGTTGCAAGAGAGTTAGCACTGACCTGAGAGGCAGCAACCTTTTGATTTGGAGAAGAGCAGAAGGTTGAAACTGGAGTAGCAGTGTGTTAAAATGAGGGACCATGGCAGATTGTTTGACAGCTGTTCTCACAGTAAGGAAGCAAAGCCTGAAGAGGGTGTGCTATTTACAATCACAGCTAGTATCAAAGTCACAAGGGAAATTGGATAGGCAGCAGTTTCTCATCCCACGGGAATTTCAGTTGGAAAATAATGCCAAATACTAAAGAGACAACTTGACCAATTACTTATCAGCCATCTAAATTAGGGAAAAGTTTTAGGATAAAACTGTAGCAGCTCACATTTCAATGAAACAGGAAAGAAAGGGATCCTGGATCAGTGGCAACGCAAAGATTAAAATGGAAAAATGATCTTCTGAGTTTACTGTGAAAGTTTTAGATGTACACTAACGTATCTACATTATAATTTAGTTCATTATTTCATAGTCATATAGCATGGAAACTGACCCTTCGATCCAACTTGTCCATGCTGACCAGACATCCCAATCTGACCTAATCCCATTTGCCAGCACTTGGCCAATATCTCTCTAAACCCTTCCTATTCACATATCCCTCCAGAAGCTTTTTTTAAGTGATGTAATTGTACCCGCTTCTACCACTACTTCTTGCAGCTTGCTTCATACACGCACCACCATCTACATGAAAAAGTCACCCCTCAGGTCCTTTTTTAAAGTCTTTCCCTTTTCGCCTTAAATTTATGCCCTCTACTTCTCCTATCTGATCATCAAGTTCCATTTGTATAGTTCCAAGTTCATTAATTGACATCAACAGGGACAAAAAGCACAGAAACAGACCCTTCACTGCAACTCATCCATGCTGACCACGTTTCACAAACTAAACTAGTCCCATTTGCCTGAATTTGGCCAATATCCTTCTAATCCTTTCCTATTCATGTACCTGTTCAAATATATTCAACATGATATTTTAAAACAAGCCTAGAATGCAACTGTTCTGACCCCCCTCCATTTGAAAATCTTCATTCAGTCCTTAGGGTAAAATTAAATGAAAAATAAAGCAATTTATGTTTTAAGCTGAATGTTAGTATGTTGTATTTCAGAATGGGGTGTTTCGTAATGATATGTAACTAGTACTTTAAATTTTAAAAAATTTGTTGATGGAAACCATGCATATGAAAGGTTGGAAATCACAGGCAACTAGACCTTTCAAATGCTGGTCTGCATGTTGTTTTATCAATCCTTGCAGACTCCTGGATGGCTAATTTTCTCTGTTTCCTTTTTTTTCAGTTTTTAAAAGGGACATAAATAACCCTGTGCCTAATCGTACATCCAGTAATCCCTTGTATCACAGGCTTTACTATTTGAAACTGATGGTTTGTATGTAATTACTTCTTCAGCTTGTACTTGTTCAAAGTACAAAGCAAACTACTTTCCAGAAGCAGACTGATGAATTATTTTAGGCATATTTAAAAAGACTGTGGAAAGTTTCTAATTGTTTTTATATCCAAATGACTAAATAGCACCATTTCTGATTTTGCTAGAGATAACCAGGGGAAATTGTTTTTACATTTTCTTGAGGGTATTGGAATAACTGAACACAGCACTTAGGAAGAATTCTTCCTACCATTGGAAACTTGTGATCCACTTTTATAATAACCTATGTGGGATGTTCATATTGCTGTCAAGGCCAGCATTTATTGTACATCCCTAATTTCCCTTGAAGGTGGCAGTGAGTTACTGCTTTAATCCGCTTGTTGTGTAGGTATCCCTACAGAGCTGTTGGAGTTTAAAGAAATGGCAGCATGCTTCCCAGTTGTGGTTGTATGGGACACACAGGGAACTTATAGGTGATGGTGTTCCCATGTGCCTGGTTTCTTTGTTTTCACTGGTAGAGTTTGTAGAATCAAAACAGTCACATTAAAATGCAGCAGGTACATCTAGCAGATGGTACGCAGTGTTACTGTGCATTAGTGGGTGGATGGGGGGCAGATCAAGTGAGCTTATTTCTCCTAGATGATGCAGAGCTTCTTCAGTGATTTGGAACTGCTTATGTCTAAGTAATTGTAGTACTTCAAAGAGACAAAGAGGAGCGCGTGGAGGGTCGGGGATCACTGGGAAATGATGGACGAGCGTGCGGAGGGTCGGGATCACTGGGAAATGACAGGGAGGAGCGCGCAGAGGGTTGGGATCACTGGGAAATGATGGGGAGGAGAGTGCGGAGGGTTGGGATCACTGGGAAATGACAGGGAGGAGCACGCGGAGGGTCGAGATCACTGGGAAATAATGGAGGAGTGCGCGGGGAGTCGGGATCACTGGGAAATGATGGGGAGGAGCGCGGTGAGGGTCGGGATCACTGGGAAATGATGGAGGAGTAGGCGGAGGGTCGGGATCACTGGGAAATGACGGGGAGGAGCGTGCGGAGGGTCGGGATCACTGGGAAAT